GAAGGGGGGGGGTGGGGGAGGTGGGCGGGGGGGGGGGGGGGGGGGGGGGTCCAGATGGTGTTAGCGAGGAACAGTGGTTGGCAGCGCTGTGGGGAGGTTGTGGAAGGGTAGAGTTGGCTATGTTGGGTCAAAAAAAGGTTAGGCTGCAAGGAGACAATAAGATTGTTGTCTTTGGGGAGAGTGCAACGGTGACGACGACAGTGATCGTAAGGTTGCGGAGGGTGGGAAGAGTCGAGGATAATCACCACCTCAGACGAGATATAGCCGGAACACCACTCCTCGTTGAATACAGACTTAGAAGGGAAAATATGGATGTCGACAACTGTCCTAGCAGAAACATAATAAAAAAAAACTGCAAATCTAAAACACAGGAATAAATATATAAACCTTAGATAATTAGAGTTTGGCCCCTCTATTAAAAGGAAGCGCCAAATACCTGGGGAAGAGCTGATCGACTCTCCCATGTCTGTACCAGTTCGATCCAGACTCCTGTAGCGCAAAAGGCTCCCATGGCCGCATGCGGAGACTAGATCCCTTTTGATGCCTGCGACAGTCTCTTGGGGTTGGGAGAGCTTCTATCTCATTTGTCGAAGCTTATGGCTCATGATAGTATAGTGTTAGGTCGGTCACTTTGAAGGTGGTGGAGCTATTGTAATTTCTTGGTAAGTTACTCCCGTTTGGCACAACCTGAGCTAGAGTTGCATAAAAGTGTATATTCCTGCAAAGTAACTCTTGAGTCCTTAAGTCTGTAATCTCTTATTCCACTTCTCAAATTCAACTGAATGTATTTGATTGATGTCTTTGGGAGAGGGCTGGCTGCAGCGGTGACGACGACAATGGTGGTAAGGTTGCAGAGGTTGGGAGAGTCGAGGATAATCACCACTTCATACGAGATATAGCCGGAGCACCACCCGTCGTTGAATACAGACTTAGAAGGGAAAATATGGATGTCAATGACTGTCGTAGCAGAAACATAATAAAAAAAATGCAAACCTAAAACACAAAAATAAATATATAAACCCTGGATAATTAGAGTTGGACCCCTCTATTGAAAGGAAGCGCCAAATCCCTGGGGAAGAGCTGATCGGCTCTCCCATGTCTGTATTAGTTCTATCCAAACGCCTGTAGTGTGAAAGGCTCCCATGGCCGCATGCGGAGACTAGATCCCTTTTGATGCCTGCGACAGTCTCTTTGGGTTGGGAGAGCTTCTACCTCATTTGTCGAAGCTTATGGCTCTTGATAGTATAGTGTTAGGTTGATCACGTTGAAGGCGGTGGAGCTACTGTAACTTCTTGATAAGTTACTCCCGTTTGGCACAACCCGAGCTGGAGTTGCATATAAGTGTATATTCCTACAAAATAACTCTTGAGTCCTTAAGTCTGTAACGTTCTTATTCCACTTCTCAAATTCAACTGAATGTATTTGATTAACGTCTTTGGGGAGAGGGCTGGCTGCAGCGGTGACGATGACAATGGTGGTAATGTTGCGGAGGTGGGGAGAGTCGAGGATAATCACCATCTCATACAAGATATAGCCGGAGCACCACTCATAGTTGAATACAGACTTAGAAGGGAAAATATGGATGCCGACGACTGTCCTAGCAGAACCATAATTAAAAAAAAAAATTGCAAACCTAAAACATAAGAATAAATATATAAACCCTAGATAATTAAAGTTGGGCCCCTTTACTGAAGGGAAGCGCCAAATCCCTAGGGAAGAGCTGATCGACTCTCCCATGTCTGTACTAATTTGATCCAGACACCTGTAGCGTGGAAGGCTCCCACGATCGCATGCGGAGATTAGCTCCCTTTTGACGTCTACGACTTTCTCTTGGGGTTGGGAGAGCTTCTACCTCATTTATGGAAGCTTATGGCTCCTGATAGTATAGTTTTAAGTAGGCCACGTTGAAGGCAGTGGAGTTACTGTAACTTCTTGATAAGTTTCTCTTGTAGGTGTTGTTATTCTAAAGCACATTTTGATTGAATAATTATCCATCCCCATTTGACACAACCTGAGCTGAAGTTGTATATAGGTGTATATTCCTGCAAAGTAACTCTTGAGTCCTGAAGTCTGTAACCTTCTTATTCCACTTCTCAAATTCAACTGAATGTATTTGATAAATAAGTCTCTCAAGAGGAACCAACTCTGGAACAAAATCTATGGTTTGTTGAACCGCATTGAACTATAACTAGTTAGGAGAGACCTCTTCTTTTTTGAAAGGACCTGAATCCCATTATATAATTTTCTTCCCCACCAAGCTCCTAAGACAAATTTCAAAGCTGTGGTTCATTCATTTTGTTTGATTATCTGTCGTTGGGTACACTGCTAAACTAATTATAATATTTAAATGACTCCATATAATATCTAGAAGTGACGCAAAAGAATCTCATATCTAACATGGACCTCCCCCTCCAGGGGCAATTCAAGAAATAACTATATACCTGAAAAGTCTGAAATTCACTTTGCTTTGATTGCCATGTGTTTTGTGTCAATTTCTTGAACTTAGGACAATCTTGGACCACCAATGTTAATTTTGTTGGAGTCCTCATATGGGCTCAACTTGAACTACGCACATTTCTCCCTCATCATCGGGATTCTAGTATTCTTCCTTTGCGTACTCACTTTCTTCGGTGTCTATTTTGTTGTTGCCCATTTCTTCAACAATTTCATGTCATGAAAGGATCATTCCCCTGGTTCTGCAGTCTTATTCAATACGCCAAATCCGTGGCACTTGAAAAACTTTTAAGTCGGGATGGATTTGAGGATGTAGATTGGTTCTACCCGTTCTCTCCTTTGAATAAGTGCCTCCTCAGGCGACGTCGGCTTGGCTGTTTTGTTGGGTGTACTCCTGTTGCTTGTTCCTGGCGTTGACGGTCACCCGGGGATGTTGTTGTAATTGGTGAGACGTTATGCACATATCATGCCTATAATGTGTCGGTAGGTACTAGCACTCTATTTCCCTTTTCATCTTAGTGGTTTTCGAACTTGAGGATTCTTTGAGAGCGAAAATTGAAGAGTAAAATTAACACATGGATGCAAATCTACTTTTACTTCAAAATTTTGACTTTTCCATTATTTCATGCCAAATCTTCAAGATAGTGTTTTTTCATCTCGGAGATCGATTGGAATTTGTGTGACCCCTCTAAATGGTTTTTTCTGGAAGGCGTTAGAGGGTTTATCATTGCATATCCTCCCTAGAAATCTCTTGAACGCTTGTTTGTGAATTTCTCATAAACGGCACTGCCATTTCCCCTCGATCAGGCTTTCGGCTATTGTCTTCTCTGTGGCATGTGTAGGATTTGAGTTTTGGTAGATAGGAGGTTGTAGGGGTGATGTAGAGTGGGAAAGAAAAAATTTTGGTGGTCGGTTTAAAAAATCCGCAACGAGAAGAATTTTTTGTGGAATTGGGGTTGTGTGTTGGTGGATGTTAGAAACTCTAGGATATGACTTGGGTTAGACTAGCTTTGATACCAAACGATATCGGAGTTAACACAAATAATAATAGGAAAACTAATATTATTATTGAAAAAGCTAAATAGGCGGTTATAACCAAACATGCATTAAAATGGGAAATAACAATACCACAACACAAACTCACACTAGGGTTCAATCCATGAATGGCGGAGGTCAAATAGGTGGTTCAGATGGGAGGTAGCTGGAATGGGGTGGATTAGAAGCGGCAACGAGTAGGGGTGGTTGGAAAGACAGTGTGTGGCTGGAAATAGCATGGGTGAGAGCTGCATGACAGGTCAGCAGTGGCTGAAAGTAGTAAATACAGCTGAAACAGCCAGGGGAAGGGTAGGACGGCAGCTTGGCAGTGGCAAAGAGTGGTAAGGATAGTTGGAGGTGCGGTGGTAGCAATGCTGGACAGTTGGACAAGAGAAAAACAGCAGGTTTGTTCTTTTCCGGATGTAGGCATCGAAGAACAGCAATTGGCAGTGATGCAGGGTGGAATGGTAGAGGTGGCTGTGCTGGGTAGGAAGAAGGTTTGGGCTGCAGGGAGATGGCAAGGTTGCCTGCGGTGACAGTGACGGTGACGACAGAGGCAGTGTAGGTAAGGTTGTGAAGGATGGGGGGAGTCGAGGATAATCACTATCTCGGACGAGATATAGCAGGAGCACCAACCGTCATCGGATACAGCCCAAGAAGGTAAAACCTGGATAGCAACGGCCATCCTGATAGAAGCATAATAAAAAAACTATAAGCCTAAAACACACGAATAATTATATAAGTTCTAGATAACTAGGTTTGGGCCCCTCCGTTGAAAGAAGGTGCCATTTCTCTGTGGAAGAGCCGATCGACTCTCCCATGTCTTTCCCATGTCTGGACCGGTTAGTGTAAGTTTCCCGTGTTCGCGTATGAAGACGTGATTCTTTTGACTCCCGCACCAATTCTTTCTTTAATGCTATTTTGAATCTGAATTTCGTGCAGATGTTCGACAGTAAGTTCACGCACTCCAGCCACAATTACTCTTACAACCATTTCAATTGGCCAATTTAATTCAGCAAAGTTTAGAAGTTAATCATACACTCGCACTGCCACCACATGTAACTCAAAACTGTGAAAAATATTCAAGCAATATAATGCCTGCAGCAGTTAAGGCAAGCATTCAAAATACCCAGAATCAGAGAATTATTCTACCAATTCAGCGCTTGACACCTGCACAATTGGTCACTGTAATGGTAAATTCTACAAATTTCATATCTGTAAACCCAAGCTTTTCGTTATGATGTTCAAAATGAGGTGCGACAAATCAATGATTAAAATATGGAACAACCAGAACATATTCTAGCCACTCAAGGTACACGAGAATAAATTTTAATGCTTGACAGGCCATCAAGTCCACGGACTTTGAGATTACAAGGTAGCAGTGGTAATCTGAAGGTCCAAATCTTGATAGTTGGTGGATTAACACACAATTTCATTCAAACAAGATTACTACCTCGCTTGAGATTGCCAATCAAACATCCCAGTTCTTCTAGGTGCTTGTGGGTAATAGTGAAGCATTGGAGTGCTCTGGACTATGTCCACGAGTGCCAATTCATATTCAGGGGTATCTATTAACCATTGATTGTAGCAGTGTTGCAGTACAAGGAGATGATGCTGTTTTAGTGGGGTTCAATGGCTGCAATTATTAGGCCCTTGTCTCAAGTCTGACAAGAATTTAACTATGAAATTATATTGGTAGGGATCACATAATTACTGACTTGTGAAAATATCTCTTCCTTCAACTCTATCCGTTTGTAACAGTTTCAAAGAATATTGTCTACAGTAACGGTGGCATCCAGTTTTTACATGATGGCTGAAAACAAAACAAATGAGATAAGTGAAGTCCTAATGGAGATCAATAAACTGTTCCAGGAATTCCAAATATTGTTCAAAATCCATCAGAATTACCTCCTTCAAGGTCAATAGATCATCGTATTCCATTGATTCCGAAACCAAAACTAGTTAATTTAAAAAAAAAAAAAACAGAAATTGAAAAGGTTGTGAAAAGGTTGTGAAAGAAAGCTGGAAGCAGGTATTGTATGTGAAAGTACTAGCTCATTTTTCTCGCCAGTGCTGTTAGCAAGAAAAAAAGATGGAACACGGAGGTTTTGTATTGATTACTGAGCTTTGTACAAAGTAAATATCCCAGATACATTCCCTATGCCAACAGTAAAAGAACTTGCTGATGAATTGCACGAAGCAACTGTATTTTCAAAATTAGATCTGCGCTTGGCCTACCACCAAATTAGATTGCACAAGATGTTTTTAAAAAAATATTCAGAACATATGAAGGACATTTTATATGTAATTCAAAGATTAAAGAATTATTTATATAAATATAAACAAACATTGCAATATTTATCTAAATCCTGGAAATGATCCTTTTTTCTTTTTGGGTGCGGCATTTACATATACATCACACAATTTTCATGTATTTACATATTTATTGCCTAAACTTCATATTTTTCATAACATTTCACCTTTTAAGATTTAAAATGGTGATCATTTTTGTAAGATATGAACAATTTTCCTGATATAAATGTAAAAAAAGAAAATTTTTAGAACAACAAAAACACATGAGAAATACTCAAAAGACAAATAAACAAATAACAGAAAAAAACAAGTGATAAATATATAAATACATGAGAATTGCGTGATATGGCTGTATATGTAGTTATTAAAACCGACAGGTGTGCATCCCTTATTTGATAGGAGCATTGAAATCTACGACTCCGCGCTAATAATTTCGAAGTTGGATGATGCGTTCAGCAAGTGGAAATAAAAGCTGCCACTTAGAGGCCTCGCGTGTTGATCTGATTGGCTGCGGATGCCACGTAGCCGCCTCGCGTGGCGATCCGATTGGCTGCGGCCGGCCGGGGGGGGGGGCGCAGCAAATGGCCGTCCCCCACGCCCCCACTTGAAAACTGTCATTAGCCCCACTCCGCCATCATCCATCCAATTCCTACGTGTTCCTTACCATCATGCTGTATTGTCCTGAGGATATCTAATTAAAGGAGGAGAGTACGCTAAAGGATATATCACTCATTTATCTGATTCAGCGCAGTTATCTAAGCCTCTTTTTGAGAAAGCTTATTCGTTTTGACGGTATTTTGAAAACATCATCTCATTATTTGAAAATTATGCTTGTGCATCTAATCTGAAAACACATATGATTTTAAGTCATGAAAGATGAATGGATGATCCCAGCCCGAGATATTCAAAAACGAGATAAAGAGTCATACAAACCACCCAACATAAAGAAGCAGACTCCTGTATGAGACCTAACCCCTCACGATCTCCAAACATGCTGGAGATGTCCAAAAACATCTCATATATTATCACATTTAGTTGACCAGCAACATCGATTAAGCCTAACTAATCTAATTAGACCAGTTGTGATAAAGACAAACAAACTCAACCGACCGAGCAAGAAAGTAGCATGGCGATCGGTCAAATATCAAGATTATCATTTATAACTGTCATTAAAAGATGAGCAAAAATATAACATCATTATATATAGATCATTTCTGGAAGAAGGAATTGCCGAATTAGCCAAAAATAAATGTAAACATCAACACGATTGAGACGAGCTATTCATTCATTTCTTTGCCTCTCCCTTTCTCTTCTTTTTTACAACATATATACATGTATGTAGACACGCACACACAGCGTAGAAGTATCACGGAACTTGAAATAATTTCATAGCTCCCTCCTCTCCCCTCTCTCTCTCTCTCCTCTCTCTCTCTCTCTACTTTGAGAGTAAAGACTCAGATTCTCTCTCTATCTCTATATGGCTGAGATCAGCGTGGGAACACCGTGGAGAGATTCTGCAGTTTATGAGAGGAAATGAGAAGACAATCGATCACAGGTAATGAAGATCAACTAGTAATTAAATAGATTAAAAAGTTTATTTAAAACATTCTTATTAATTTTTTAACTGTGAATGAATGGATTAATATTAATTAAAATTTAATCAAGAAATAATTTTATTTTTTTATTCTTAAAGACCGAGTTCATTAGAATATCCCGCCACAGAACATTTAATGCTTAGAACGAGTGAACTTATTAATTATGAGATTAGTATTATATATATATATCTCTATATATATATATA